AAGCTAGAACAGATTAAAGAAAAGAAGCTGAAGAACAAGAAGACCAAAGAATACCTAATCAAGAAATACCACTTAGAAACAAGGAAGATCAAGGAAGCACTGGAAATAATAAAGCAACAAATAACAGCTATAGCCAGGAAAATCAGTAGATATTAAGCTCGAATTGCAAACTATAGGCAGAACCTCCAATTTCAATCCAATCAGAAACGTTTCTACCAATCCATCAATGGGGAAACTGCAAGGAATCAGTCAGTACCTGACAAGGAAGAAACAGTGCAATTCTGGAAGCAGATAATGGTGGGAGACCCAAAGAAATACAACAAGGATGCAGCTTGGTTAAAAGAGGTGGATGCAAATAAAACAGAAGTTGAAATGAAAGAACTAGTAATAACAACAAGAATGGTAGAAAAAAGAGCAAAGAAAATCAAAAATTGGTCAGCACCAGGTGAAGATGAACTGCATGGGTTTTGGTTGAAACATCTAACTGTTATACACCCACTCATTGCCAAACAGTTCAACAATATACTACAAGGAGGAGAAATTGAAAAGTGGCTAACAACTGGGAAACCTACCTAATAATGAAAAATCCAGCAAAAGGGGCAACACCAGGCAACTACAGGCCAATTACCTGCTTACCAACAACTTTCAAATTACTAACTGGTGTGGTAGCTGATGCAGTACAACAGCATCTAGTTGAGAACAATCTCTGTCCACCTGATTGAAAACAATCTCTTTCCACCTGAGCAGAAAGGAAACCGCCCCAATAGCAGAGGAACAAAAGATCAACTCCTAATAGACAAAATGATCTTGGAAAACTGCAAGAAAAGGAAGACCAACCTGAAGGTGGCATGGATTGACTACAAAAAGGCATTTGACTCTCTGCCACATGACTGGATAATCAAGTGCCTAGAAATAACAGGAGTCAGTAGAAACATCAGAAAATTTGTGCAAAGATCGATGGCACAATGGAAGACACAGTTGCAGATCAATGGTGAAAGGCTGGAGAGGTTAATATCAAGAGAGGAATATTTCAAGGAGATTCATTATCACCATTACTATTTGTTATTGCACTGTTTCCTCTGTCAACAATACTGAATAACTCAGGACATGGTTATCAAACATCAAAAACATCTGCTAGACTATCCCACCTCCTTTACATGGATGATCTGAAGCTGTATGGAAAAACATCATCTGAAATAGAATCGCTGCTCAACACTGTCCGTATATATAGCCAAGATATTGTAATGGAGTTTGGCTTGGACAAATGTGCCACACTTACTATCAAACAAGAAAAATAATGAAAACTGAAGGAATCAAGATGCCCCACGAAAATAACATTAAGAGTCTGGATGAGGAAGAGTACTACAAATACTTGGGTATCCTTCAAGCTGACAACATCAATCACACTGAAGTCAAGAAAAAGATTAGAGGTGAATACATCAAGAGAGTGAATAAGATCTTAAAATCCAAACTCAATGGAGGAAATACCATAAAGGCAATCAACACCTGGGCAATCCCAGTCATTAGGTACACAGCTGGAATAGTGGACTGGACTCAAGCAGAACTAAAAGCAATGGATAGGCAGACCAGAAAATAATGACAATGAATCATGCCCTTCATCCACACAGTGACATTGATAGACTTTATCTACCAAGGCAAATAGGTGGGCGTGGAATGCTACAAGTACATCAGATGGTTGAAGAAGAAAAAATGGCTTTGGAAGAATATCTAAAGAACAATGATGAAGATGCACTGAAATTAGTATATCAGGAAGGCTTACTAACTATTGGAGAAACCAAACTGGCCTACAAGAAAGACCAAATGAAGAACAGAATAGAGGCATGGGAAGACAAAGCACTACATGGCCAATACATGAAAAAAATAGCTGGGAAATCAGATAATAATAAAACCTGGCAATGGCTAAGAGCAGGAAAACTGAAGAAAGAGACCGAGGGACTAATTCTGGCTGCACAAGACCAAGCCTTAAGGACAAATGCATACAAAGTCAAAATTGAGAAGACAGCAACAGACAGTAAGTGCCGCCTATGCAAAGAAACTGAAGAAACAGTGGACCACTTGGTAAGCTGTTGCAAGAAGATTGCACAGACTGACTACAAGCAGCGGCATGTCAAAGTAGCAACAATGGTGCATTGGAAGATCTGCAAAAAATATCATTTGCCTGTAAGCAAAAACTGGTGGGATCATAAAATAGAGAAAGTCATAGAAAATGATAAATTAAACTGCTCTGGGACTTCAGAATTCAAACAGACAAGCACCTGCAACATAACACCCCAGACTTAACAATTGTCGATAAGAAAGACAAAAAAGTCTGGATAGTGGATGTGGCAGTGCCTGGAGACAGCAGAATAGACGAGAAAGAACTGGAGAAGATAACAAAATACAAAGACCTACAAATAGAAATAGAAAGACTGTGGCAAAAGCAAGCAAGGGTAGTACCAATAGTAATAGGCTCCTTGGGTGCAATCCCAAAACAACTGGAGCACCACTTGAACACCATTGGCATTGACAAATTCGCTATTAGTCAATTGCAAAAGGCGGCCTTACTAGGAACTGCTTCCATCCTGCGACGATATCTGTAATACCATCAAACATCCACATCTGCCTATCCCAGGCCCTGGGTAAGGACTCGATAGGTAGACAAAATGCCAAATCCAGTCTGAACATCTGGCTGACTGTGCGATGATCGATAATAATAATAATAATAAAATAATGTCTTAAAACTCTTTGTTAACAAACTGTTATTGTAATATACTTGTAGAAAGTCTGCCACAGCATCTTATCTATCCTAAATCATCCCAAAAGTTAAAAGTAATTTGTCCTGGGTCAAATATCCATGTTTATTTCTTAATGCCACCTTTTTGTTGTCTAATTAAATATAATGAATTCAGTCTCCACAATGGGTCTATCTTCCCAACAAAGTCCAAACAGAAATGGTTTCCAGTTAGGTGTAATAAATCCATTCTCCAATCTTCCTCAGTCTTTATAGGAAAAAAAGGGAAAAAAATATAAAGGAAAAGGAAAAGAAAAACAAGGGTTGAAATAAATCAGCATTCAACCACTGGTCAAGTTTTAAGAGCAAAAAACAAAGTAAAAAATAAATTCAAAAAGTTAAAGTTAAACACCCAGGCATTTTTCTTTGATCTATTTTTAATTTCTTACTATTTGCCTAGTGGTATCATTTAGCATGCCTATTTTGGGTTGGAATATTCTTTTGAATTCAGATATTTTTGATCTCTCATCGATCTTACGGTGGTGCAACCATTGATTGCACTACTGTGCATGCTATCTTGACTTCTGTGACAATACTCAGTAGAAACCTCCTCCAGCCCCAGTAGGCGGGGGCATGCCCAATTCCTCAATACATCATCAAGTGGCACGTTAGAACATATGATTCCATTTATAGAGGACTCTTCTAAACACTGGATTCAGACTGAAACTAGTTAGAGTCTAATAAGTTTATAAATCAGTGTTTTGTTTTTTTTTTACCTGAACCATTTTTCTGGAATAAAACAGATTGAAAATGTTTTCACTAAAACATTTATTCTTAATATTCAATATTCTCTAAATTTGGAAGAATAAATACACAGTTTTGCTATACGATATTTCTCTTTTTATTCCTTTGATAATCTATTTTGATTAGGATCTTTATTCTGGTTTGGCTAAAAGGAAATATTTGACAGAATATAATCTTTATAGACTAAAAGTTTTACTGTAATGGTGCACCTCTCAATAAAGATAAGATAGAGCAGGTGATAAGATATTGAGTTTTTTGGTGTCAACTCAAATCTCCTTGCAGCCACAGAAATATTAGAACTTCAGTAATATGGCCTTATACTAATTCTGAGAATTTAATACTTCATTATTTAGAACAGTGGTTCTCAACCTGTGGGTTGGGACCCCATTTGGGGTCGAATGACCATTTCACTGGGGTCGCCAAACAACGCAGTCCGCCATTTTTCCCCCCTTTTCCTTAGCTGTGCTACTCCCTTTTATTCTATTGGCTTTTGAAAGCCAATAGAATAGACTCTCTTGAATAGAGTCTAATTCTATTGGCTTTCAAAAGCCAAGAGGAATTGTCCAGGCTGTCTCTGCCCTGCTGAGCCCGCCAAAAGTCCCATTCTGCAAACGGTGCTGCACCAGTTGAGTAGTCCTCGACTTACGACCGGTTGAGTAGTCCTCGACTTACGACCGGTTGGGGGTCGCGGCATTAAAAAGGTTGAGAACCACTGATTTAGAACAACCAAAAGGAACAACCTCAAAAATGTATACATTATTATTGCAATCAGAAATAAAGATCCACCATATGGATTAAAGGAAGCTGAGGATACTGATCTTGGTGATCTTATACAGGAGATAAACTGGCAGCAGCTATGGAAACCAGGTGGAGTCACCTCAGCTTCAATGCAAGAACTGTAGTGGAAAATTATAATCATTGCCATTGGACTCCTGTCAGATTGGCACATATATATATCAAAATTATTCTTCCAAATACTGGAGAGATTATCAAAAAGATCACTTTTTCATTTGTGGAACTGGCTTATTATAATATGTAGTGACATTGCTATTATTAATATTCCCATCAACTGAAGGTCAGGTTAAAGATTCCTATCAACTTCTCAGGCAAATCTAGCTGGCGGTAAATCTTATGATTAAAGATATTAACCTTTGTTGGCTGAACCTTATTAGCTAAGATTGTATTTTGTAAGGTTGGATCTGATAAAAAGATAAACAAGATTAAAAGTTGAACAAGACTGATTACCACTTTAATCCTCCTCTCTCTCTCTCTCTCTCTCTCTCTCTCTCTCTCTCTCTCTCCCTCCCTCCCTCTCTCTCTCTCTTGGGGTAACTATAGGATTTCTCCCTTTATTAAGAATGTAGTGTTGCCTTAATAAACATTTCTGCAAAGGCAAATATCCAACATACTACAAATGTAAGACAAAGTTTTGAATGGAATATTTTTTTTTATATCTTTTTCCAGAGTGAGGTCTTACAATATCATGGTTATCCTAATGAGGAACATGAAATCCTGACAAATGATGATTACTTCCTTACTATCAACAGAATTCTTGGAAAGAAAGCCTCAGGTTTTTTTTTTTTTTTTTTTGCTTTTAATGTTCACCAAAACAAAGTTTCTTAATACTGATTTGCTCTTATAAAATATCCCCGTGATGGCAAACCTATGGCATACGTGCCAAAGGCGGCACGCAGAGCCATCCCGGTGGGCACGCGCGCCATCGGCCCAGAGGGAGGTGGGGCCAGGCTGCTCTCCTCCTCCTCCACATGTGCTTGCATTCTTGCTCTCTCTCTCTTTGCACTGAGAGTCAGAGAGCAGCTGCAAGAACTGGGTGCATCCAGGCTGGATGGTAGAGGCAGCTGCCAGCACAAGTTCAGGTAAGCCTCCGGAGTGATTTTTGCGGCACCCTTGCGGCCCGATCCAGGCTCTGGAGGCCTGGAAAAGAACTCTGCCACCTGGATCGGCCGTGGGGAGGCGCAAAATCCCCCACCCACCATGTGGATCGCACTGCCACTACCGCCTTCCCCCTACCTATCATGCAGATCGTGCTGCCACCATCCCCCCACCCACCATGTGGATCGCATTGCCGCTTGGAAAAGGCCCCATCCGCTGCCCAGATCTAGGGCTGCAGAGCAATTTTGTACCCCCTCCCCATGGCTGATTCAGGTGGCATAGGTCTTTTCCAGGTCTCCGGAGCTTGCATCCATGGCCATGGGGTGATTTTGCGGCATGACAGTGGTCCGATCCGGGTTCCAGAGGCCTAGAAAATGCTTCTGTCATCTGGATTGGCCACGGGGGGTGGGTGGGTGCAAAATCACTCTGCAGCCCTAGATCTGGGTGGCAGAAACATTTTCCAGGACTCTGGAGCTCGGATTGGGCCGCTGGTGCACTGTACAATCGTCCCACAGCCATGGATGCGAGCTCCAGAGGATTGGAAAAAACTTCTGCCGCTCAGATTGGCCATGGGGGGGGGGCAAAATTGCTCTGCAGCCCTAGATCCAGGTGGCAGAAGCATTTTCCAGGCCTCTGGAGCCTGGATCAGACCGCTGGCATGCTGTAAAATCACACCGCACCCATGAATGTGAGCTGCAGAGGCTTGGAAAACACTTCTGCTGCCTGGATCGGCCATGGGGGGCACAAAATTGCTCTGCAGCCCTAGATCCAGGCGGCAGAAGTATTTTCCAGTCATCCAGAGCTCGCATCTAGGGCTGCAGAGCGATTTCGCGCCCCTCCATGGCCAATACAAGTGGCAGAAGCATTTTCCAGGTCTCTGGAGCCTAGATCGGGCCACTGGCACTCCACAAAATCACCCCACAGTCATGGATGCAAGCTCCGGAGCTTGGAAAAAGCCCTTTCCTAGCAGCGGCTGCAGCGTGATCCGTGCAGCGGGTGGGGGGGAAAGGCAGTGGTGTCAGGGCGATCCACGCAGTGGGTGGGGGGGGAAACCTGCCCCACTTGTTTCACAGCCGCTTTTGGCCAAGCTGCATTGCAGCAGCATTGGGCGCAATACGTGAGACGGCAAACAACTGCATCACGCTGAAACAGGCCATTTGCCACCTACTGCCCAATGCCACTGCCATGAGGCCATGGAACAAGCCGGGTGGCAGTAAGAAACTGGTATACTGGTGCCTTACCTCTGCCCCGCTTGTTCTGTGGCCTCATGGCAGCTGCATTGGGTATGATGTGCAAAGCGGCAAAAAGCCACATTATGCCAAAACTGAGGGGCCAGCAGGCTGTGGCTGCTGATGGACACAGTTGGTCCCCATGTGCTTGCTGTGCATGGGGGGGGCAATGGTGTCAGGCAGCAGCTGCCCAGCCCCTGCCTCGCCTTGCCCTGTGGCAATGGCACCCCTGCCCTGCCCCCTGCCTCGCCGCGCCTTGCAGGACGAGCCTCCTGCCCACATCCCACCCGCCAGAGACCCCCTGGATGTCCCCCAAGCCTGCCTGGCTCCCACAGGTGTCCCTCCCCATGAGCAACATCGAGGTGGCCATGCCCACCCAGTCTGCCATGCCCACCCAATGGGCCATGCTCACTCAATGGACCACGCCCACCCAGCACCCAATGATACATAAGTGAGTTTGGGGTTGCAGTTTGAGCACTCAGTCTCTAAAAGGTTCGCCATCACTGAAATATCCTATTTATATTTTTATCTTCTGTAGATATCTTCTGCAGTGAGACAACTCTTTCATATAAAGGGGGGGATCATTTGAAGTAATTTATTTGTTCATACATATGGGAAATAGAAGTCACCCTGAAAACAAATGAACACAGAAAAAAAAAAACCATAATGGCCTCAAGCTTGTTTCATTTTCCATGATATTATTATATCATGTAATAGGAATGTTTTGGGATTTTCCCAGGTCTAGATCTCAGTCAAGGAATCTCAAGATGGTCTTGATGACTAAACTACATGCTAATCATTTCATTTAAATGAACATGGGGAAACAGGAAAGAACATAACCTCATTTTTATAGTTATATAGTGTTATAATGCCACCCAGATTCACTTTCATGTGAGATGGGCAGTTATAAATGAATGAATGAATGAATGAATGAAAATATTAAGCCAAAGCAAATGTTTGTACTATTCTTTTGCCTTCTAATGTTATTTTGTATTGCATATTTATAGCTCAGTTGTAATTGGGCCAGATACTTAATTTTGAAGTTGATTTTTTGTCATCCATAGGCAATTTGATGTAATTATTTTTGAAATGTCCTTCTTTTCTTCCTTTCCTTTTTTTTGTTTTGTTTTGTTTACAGCTTCAAAACCTGCTGTGTTACTGATGCCAGGAATTCTTACAGATTGTGGAATATGGATAACTAATGAACCCAATAGCAGCTTAGGTTTTATACTGGCAGATGCTGGCTTTGACGTTTGGTTGGCAAATAACTGAGGAAGCAGATGGTGTAAAAGACACCAGCACTTTTCACATAAAGAAGAAGAATTCTGGAATTTCAGGTACGTTAAAACATTTGGTGCTGGGGGGGGAGTGATAAAACCTCACTTAATATGGGCATGAAGTGAGATAGAAGTTCAAAAGATGGATCATACCATGTCTGTGACTTGAAAGGAAAACCCAACATCTTGAACTATGTTATGAGTCTGATTGGACAGAAGCATCCATGTTCATCAGCTGTCAAGGGCGTCCACAGGAGAGATTAAAAAAAAATCAAGATGGTAGCTATGATTGTGCAATCAAAGTCCTATCTCCTTTTTAACATGTCATAATGCACACACAAAACGGGCAGGGCTTTGACTGTCATCAGCACCAGTCACGGCCACTATTGTGATTCTCTTGAAAACCATCCCTCCATACATTTTCTTCCCCCAAATAGATAGGTGATTGTTTTCTTTTACATTTCTATTAGATTACAATTTTCAAAATCTTCCCATCCTATAGTTCTATGACAAATAAGCAATTATGAACACAATCAATGCAAAAATAATCTGGAAAGAGAGATAGTTTGTGTAGCTTACCACATGTTGCTATAGTGATATAAGTTTCATCATCCAGTTCTTCGTTTTGCATTATAATAGATTTAGTCAGCCATATAATTCTTTTATATTTTTTATTCCTTTTATATTTTTTATATATACCTTTTAGGTTTTTTTTAAAATGAACTTTATATATTTTATATTTCTTAGATTTTAAAATTATCAATTGTTTGTATGTCACCCTTCTAATATTTGGCTATGACTGTAACAAAGATTTGATTGATTGATTGACTTTATTTTATTTCAGTTTTCATGAAATGGCAATGGAAGATCTTCCATCTATTATATATTTTATCCTAGCTAAAACTGGACAGAAACAACTTTATTATGTTGGCTATTCCCAAGGATCCACTATAGGTAAGTTCTTGGATTTTTGCAGGGGTGAAAAGGGAAGCAGGGGGATGGAAGGGCAAGTGACATGATAAGCATCTTAATGTCATCAGGCAAATGATGCAACGAGATCATGATGCAGGTGACAACATTGTGGCTTGGGACCAGGACATAGTATCTGAGCTCATTGTACTGTGGTAATCGCTGATGGGATGCAAACTGGCCAGAGTTATAGACTTCTAAGCATTAATTCTTGTTGTTGTTGTTAATTGCGAAGTCGTGTCCGACCCATCGCGAGCCCATGGACAACGTTCCTCCAGGTCTTCCTGTCCTCTACCATCTTCTGGAGTCCATTTAAGTTCACACCTACTGCTTCAGTGACTCCATCCAGCCATCTCATTCTCTGTCGTCCCCTTCTTCTATTGCCTCAATCTTTCCCAGCATTAGGCTCTTCTCCAGTGAATCCTTCCTTCTCATTAGGTGGCCAAAGTACTTGAGTTTCAACTTCAGGATCTGGCCTTCTAAAGAGCAGTCGGGGTTGATCTCTTCTAGGACTGACCGGTTTGAACGCCTTGCAGTCCAAGGGACTCGCAGGAGTCTTCTCCAGCACCATAGTTCAAAGGCCTCAATTCTTTTGCGCTCAGCCTTTCTTATGGTCCAACTTTCACAGCCATACATTGCAACTGGGAAAACCATGGCCTGGACTATACGCACTTTTGTTGGCAGGGTGATGTCTCTGCTTTTTAGAATGCTGCCTAGATTTGCCATAGCTTTCCTCCCCAGGAGCAAGCGTCTTTTAATTTCTTGGCTGCAGTCCCCATCTGAGGTGATCTTGGAGCCCAGAAAAATAAAATCTGTCACTACCTCCATTTCTTCCCCATCTATTTGCCAGGAATTGAGAGGGCCGGATGCCATGATTTTGGTTTTCTTAATGTTGAGTTTCAAGCCAACTTTTGCACTCTCCTTCTTCACCCGCATCAAGAGGCTCTTTAGTTCCTCTTCACTTTCTGCCATTAGAGTGGTATCATCTGCATATCTTAGGTTGTTGATATTTCTCCCGGCAATCTTAATTCCAACTTTTGATTCATCTAGCCCTGCCTTTCTCATGATGTGCTCTGCATATAAGTTAAATAGGCAGGGCGACAGTATACAGCCTTGCCGGACTCCTTTTCCAATTTTGAACCAATCAGTGGTTCCGTGTTCAGTTCTCACTGTTGCTTCTTGACCCAAATATAGGTTTCTCAAGAGACAAATGAGATGGTCTGGTACTCCCATCTCTTTAAGGACTTGCCACAATTTGTTGTGATCCACACAATCAAAGGCTTTTGCATAGTCAATGAAGCAGAAGTAGATGTTTTTCTGGAACTCCCTAGCTTTCTCCATGATCCAGCGTATGTTGGCAATTTGATCTCTAGTTCCTCTGCCTCTTCGAAATCCTGCCTGTACTTCTGGTAGTTCTCGATCCACATACTGCTGGAGTCTAGCTTGTAGGATTTTAAGCATAACTTTACTAGCATGTGAAATGAGTGCAATGGTGCGATAGTTTGAACATTCTTTGGCATTGCCTTTCTTTGGAATTGGAATGTAAACTGACCTTTTCCAATCCTGTGGCCACTGTTGAGTTTTCCAAATTTGCTGGCAAATTGAATGTAGCACTTTTACTGCATCGTCTTTTAAGATTTTGAATAGCTCATCTGGAATACTGTCACCTCCACTAGCTTTGTTGTTGCTCAGATTTTCTAAGGCCCATTTCACTTCACATTCTAGGATGTCTGGTTCGAGGTCAATGACCATCTCATTGTGGTTATCTGGGATGTTAAGCTCATTCTTGTATAGTTCTTCTGTGTAGTTTTGCCATCTCTTCTTAATCTCTTCTGCCTCTGTTAGGTCTCTGCCATTTTGGTCCTTTATCATGCCCATCTTTGCATGAAACGTTCCCTTCATATCTCCAATTTTCTTGAAGAGATCTCTAGTCCTCCCTATTCTGTTGTTTTCTTCTATTTCTTTGCACTGTTCATTTAAGAAGGCATTCTTATCTCTTCTAGCTACTCTCTGGAATTCTGCATTCAATTGGGTGTATCTTTCTCTTTCTCCTTTGCCTTTCGCTTCCCTTCTTTCCTCAGCTATTTGCAAAGCTTCCTCAGACAGCCATTTTGCTTTCTTGCATTTCTTTTTCTTTGGGATGGTTTTAGTTGCTACCTCTTGTACAATGTTGCGAACTTCCATCCATAGTTCTTCAGGCACTCTGTCTATCAGATCCAGTTCCTTAAATCTATTTGTCACCTCTACTGTATATTCATCAGGAATATGATTTAGTTCATACCTGAGTGGCCTAGTGCTTTTCCCTACTTTTTTCAATTTAAGCCTAAATTTTGCAACGAGAAGCTCATGATCTGAGCCACAGTCAGCTCCTGGTCTTGTTTTTACTGACTGTATAGAGCTTCTCCATCTTTGGCTGCAGAGCACATAGTCAATCTGATTTCTATGTTGACCGTCTGGTGATGTCCATGTGTAGAGCCGTCTCTTGGGTGTTGGAAAAGAGTGTTTGTTATGACCATCGTATTCTCTTGACAAAATTCTATTAGCCTGTGCCCTGCTTCATTTTGTACTCCAAGGCCAAACTTGCCTGTTATTCCGGTTATCTTTTGGCTTCCTACCTTAGCATTCCAATCCCCCATGATGATAAGGACATCATTTTTGGGTGTTAATTCTATAAGGTGCTGTAGGGCTTCATAGAACCGGTCAATTTCATCCTCTTCAGCACCAGTGGTTGGGGCATAGATTTGGACTACTGTGATATTGAATGGTTTGCCTTGGATTCGAATAGAGATCATTCTGTCATTTTGAGGATTGTATCCCAGTATTGCTTTTCCTATTCTTTTATTGACTATGAAGGCTACTCCATTTCTTCTGAGGGATTCTTGCCCACAGTAGTATGCCTGATGGTCATCTGAGTTAAATTCACCCATTCCTGTCCATTTTAGTTTGCTGATTCCTAAGATGTCGATGTTCAGTCTTGTCATCTCTTTTTTGACTACGTTTAGCTTGCCTTGATTCATGGATCTTACATTCCAGGTTCCTATGGAGAAAAAATCTTTACAGCATTGGACTTTCCTTTCACCACCAGATATATCCACAGCTGAGCGTCCTTTCGGCTTTGGCCCAGTCGCTTCATTCTTTCTGGCGCTACTAGTACTAGCCCTCTGCTCTTCCCCAGTAGCATATTGGACACCTTCTGACCTGAGGGGCTCATCTTCCAGCGTCATATCTTTTTTCCTTTTAGTACTGTCCATGGGGTTTTCATGGCAAAGATACTGGAGTGGTTTGCCATTTCCTTCTCCAGTGGATCACATTTTGTCAGAACTCTCTGCTTGGGTGGCCCTGCACGGCATAGCTTATAGCTTCATTGAGTTACGCAAGCCCCTTCGCCACGACAAGGCAGTAATCCATAAAGGGGCATTAATTAATTCTTAATTCTTACAGCATATCTATAATTATACTTGTTAAGTCCTTCGTTCGCATGTGAATGATGAAGACACATGGTGATGATGAACAAACACTTTATTCTCTTACAACAACCAAGCAAAAACGCAAAGACACACAGGCCTTTTATATGGCCAGAAGCCTGGACAGTGTCAACCAATAGGAACAGAGCATTTTCGCGCCTTGAGCATGAGCACAAGGCTGGCACCATTCTGTCTGGTCCTGGGCAGCTTTTGGAATGCCTGGGATCAATGCAACATCCCGAGCCTGCTTTTGCAGGCTCAGGACACAACACTCCTCCCCCCTAGATGGAACATACTTTGCGTACACACAGGTACGTCATGCACTGGGAAGAGTGGCATACAGTTGCATTATTCAAATGCAAAGAGTGTGGAACACTCGAGTCTGCACTCAGGCAAACCCCTTCAATATTTATTAATACAAATAAATGTATCTGAAATCAAATAATGCAAAATAATACATCCCTAGTTACTCCCTCCATTCAGGGGCGTCATAAGAAGGTCCCTCATGATTTGACAGCAACCTCACAAAGTCTCTCAGATGTTTGGGTGGGCACTTGGCCCCCTGCGACCTTCTAAGGCCCGAAGAGATTGCCTGGCCCATCTGCTCACCTACCAGGCTAGGCAGGCCAGGACGTTGCTGCCCTAAATATCCAGGTGACCCTGGTGAGGGTGCCTGGCCTACCTGCTTGCCTACTAGGCTAGGCAGGCCAGGACTTTGCTGCCCCAAATACCTGGTTGACCCGGCCAGCTGCAGACTGGTGGACCCTCTGAGTCCAAGTCGGAATACCCAATGGACCCCTCTTGGGAACACTGTCCCTCAAGCCCAAGGTCAGCAGATGGAGAGGGCTGGGTAACGGAAGTGCCCCAGTACTCTATGGCCTCCAAGCACATGCCAGAGGTGCCAGAGTCAGCAGCCGCCTCCATGGCAACCCCCTTTGCTGGAAACCTCCTTTTGGGAGCAATTGCTGAATTACGCAAGAGCCCTTGGTCGAATTCCATTTCTCTTGCTGTTTGTGATTTATGTGGATACCCCCGGTCAGTCTCCCTGTCTGGAGCACTATCTGACATATGTGGATACTGTGGATACCCCCGGTATGACTCCCTGTCTGGAGTAATTATGGATGTGTGGGAAGATCCCCTATCCAGTGAATTCCTGTTTGGAGCACTTGCAGAACCTTGGGATAACTCCCCAACAGCCTCATCAGCATCTAATGAGGGCCTGTTAGGCCTGGGAAACGGTAACCCAGAATGCATATTATGGTCCTCCTCCACCCCCAGAGCAGAGCCAGGAGCGGAAGAATGGCAGTCCAGTCTCCAACGCAGTTGGTCTATGGGTCTGCGAAGAACGCGGCCGTCACCCAAGGCAACTTCGTATGACAATGGCCCAGAGAACTTGAAGACCACAGTTGTGACCCAGAGATGTCCAGGCCCATAGTTTCTTGCCCAAACCGGATCGCCCACCTGGAGTCTCCTAGGTGCCCGCAGTTGTGACACCTGTGAAGCCACCCGGTCAGGGTGCAGCT